AAGTCACCTTTATTTATATAGCGCTTTTAACAATACAGATTGTGTCAAAGCAACTAAACAGCATTAATCAGTACAGCAGTGTGTGTGTGTGTGTGTGCGTGATGGAGGAGGTCACTGATCTCAGTGTAAATGTATTTATTATATTAAAACATAATAATATAATTTAGAATGTTTTTATTTGAATAATAATAACTTCTCTCCTCAGACAGCAAGCCAAAGGTTTATCTTTATTTTAATAATAATGATCAAGTTCATCCTATCAAGTTTCTGCTCCTCTCATCCACTTTCCTAAAAGCAGAACTTGTCTTGTCGGCATGTGCATGAGAAAGGTCATTTTTGTAGAAAGACTTCCCAAAAACCGGCTCACTAAACGCACACAGTCTCATTCTGAATGATCTTTAATGAACAGTCACATTTGGTATTCATAAACATGGCAACAACAAAAAAAACTATATTTACTCAACATGTCTGTCATTCTGAGGCACATTCACACAGCGAGAACTTGATTTGGGATACTGTCCTGTGCATAAGTCCAAATTTGAACTAACATTTTTCTACAGAGTATTAGAGTAAGGCAATAAAAGTCATGAATGTGTAGAGAGTGAATAAACAGTTTTTTTGTTCCTTTTTCATCCCTTCTTCACTAATGAAGTGCACAGAGGTATGACAGACTCTTTATTTATTTTTGAACTGAGCAAACAGCTGCTGCTTTGTCAGTCAAACAGTCATATTTCCAGCTGACACACCACACTCGAATCTAAACAGTTCACACACTTACTTATATACAGACAAAACATGCAGAGAAACACAATCACACACACACCCTCATATATAATCAGAACTCCTAGAAAACACAAAACACACTGACTCGGCTTTATTTTTTATCCACTACTATTCAAAAGTTTGGGTTAGTTAGATTTTTTTTTAAAGAAATTAATACTTTAAAATGACAATAATAAAATTGATGATTTAATTAGATTTCTATTTCAAATTAATTCTGAAACAATTCTGAAAATCCTGAAAAAAATGCATCACTGTTTCTACAACTGTTTTCAACATTGATAATAATAATAAATGCTTCTTGAGCACCAAATCAGCATATAGAATGATTTCTGAAGGATCATGTGACACTGAAAACGGAAGTAATGCTGAAAATTAAACTTTGCCATCACAATAATAAATTACATTTTAAAATATATTCAGATAAAAAACTGTGATTTTAAATTGTAATAATGTTTCATAATATTACTGTATTACAATATTTCAGTATTGTTGATCTAATAAACGAAGCATTGGTATGCCCCCAAACGTTTGAGCAGTATGAGTACATACAGTGTAGAATTTATCATAGTGAACAAAAAAATTTAATTACATTTTTTTTTTTTTTACTTTGAGCAAAGGCTACATGTTGACTTTAGATTTTAGGATACTGGCAGCTAAAAGTTCTCAAAAAAAAAAATATATATATATTGTGCATCCATGTCTGCTGTGATTGGCTTCTACTTTTGAATCTTAAGGAGTAAGTAACAAGTTCAGATACAGTACAGCACAAAATTCTAGGCATGCATCTGTGAAATTGAACTTTTTCACCACCAGAGGGTGCAAGAACGAAACCATCAGTCTCTGATAGAACAGCGCAAACTCCTCAAGAACCTGGACATAGCTGTCCTGCAGTGGATATGTTTAGGATATGTTTTATACAAATCAGTTCTACTTACTGCTTGATGTTCTATCAGGAATCATCATACACCATCAATACTGCATCACACAGTCTCTAAAAACAAAACAAGAACATCAAAATAACAATGTTTAATGAGTAATAAAGGTTAAAGGAGAACTGCGTTCAGAGTAGAAAATGAAAAGACTGAGGACAAAGGAGAAGGTTTAAAGGCTGAGGTGGCATGTAGGTGCTTAAAGGATCAGTTGGCGTAAAACTCTTAAAGCATTTGTTTTTTGTCACATCCATCTGGATAATGTAATGCTAGGCAGTATACATGCAGTAGAAGTCCTCAGAGGCGAATGGCAAGGGTGAATAGAGGCTCAGTGGGCACATAGACCACAGGATCTGTGTAAATGAAGAAAATCCCCATATAGAAGGTTTAAAGGCTGAGGTGGCATGTAGATGCTTAAAGGATCAGACTTCATGCAGCACAAGTCCAACATAAGAGAGACGGGCAGCTTGATGGCCCCAGTGGAAACTGAGCAAGACATCCCTGTCTGAGAGTCACTGTGTGTTAAAAAAAGTCACAAACGGTTTGGAGATAAACAGAGCTGGGCTCTGAATATCGATCAGAAAAAGCACCAAAAAAAAAACATTAAAAATTCACAGTGGGATTGAAGGTTTTGGAAATTTAGCTGTACTCTGTTATCAATTTTTTCTCAATTCAAATCTTGATTTTTTTTACTTTTTTTGCCTTGAATAATTTTTTTGTCTTACTCTTTTCTATTGTTTCTGTTGCACTTTTTGTAACACTTCTCAGTTCATTGAGCAAAGATATAATTTTCTAGCATTAGCTGGGGGTCTGTGAGGCCCCCCCAAAGGGGTTTGAGTATATCTGAAGGATTCTGGGGCCATTTGTCTTGGAGTTCATCTGTATCTTGTTTTGTAACGTAGCATTCAAAGGTTGTTCAGGAGGCCTTCTTGTTATATGCACAACTGCGTCTGTGTGAATGTTCGCCCAAGTTAGCGCCCAACGCTGATGTTGCAGGTCTTGCAGCTGGGGTCTTTCTTAGCATTGACAGTTGAGAAGCTCATCAACTGGTGGCCGCTGATCTGAGAGACAGTCCCCTGTGCCAGCTGCACCGGCTCAGTATAAATCAGCTCCAGAATCACATCCTGCGCATGCTGAAACACCACCCGCCCATCCTCCCCGCACACACGTGTGAGAAAGCGGTTGTTCGTCACATCCAGCTCTGGCAGGCGATCTCTGCAGTAAAGGTCTCCACGCGAGCCCCGGGGAGCCAGGACGAGGATAACATAATGATAGGCAGTGTACATGCAGTAGAAGTCCCCAAAGTAGAGGCGCGTGTCAGGGGTGAACAGAACCTCGGCGGGTATCTGGAAGCGGAAGCGGCCGTATGGGGAATCCTGTGGTGGCTGACCTGTGTTAAACTCAGTGTTGCAGCTGAGGAAGATCCCCTCCAGTTTACCGCTGAGAGGTGAACCATGACTACCGCTGTTATCCTTTACCGAGGGCATCATTCGACTGCCAAGAACATCTCTGTGAGAGAAAAAAATACATTTCTAAAATTCCTTATTCACATGTCTTTATATCATTACTCTACTGTTCAAACATTTGGGGTCAGTTAGATTTTTTTAAAAGAAGTCGCTTATGCTCACTAAAGCAACATTTATTTGTTTAAAAAATACAGCAAAAACAGTATTATTGTGAAATATTACTACAAATTAAAACAACTGTTTTCTATTTTAATATATTTTATAATATAATTTATTGATTTGGTGTCTATCAATGATGAAAACAGTTGTGCTGCTTTACATTTTTGCCATGATAAGTTCTTTTACAGTGACACATTTTTTCAGCATGAATAAAAAGTTCAAAAGAAAAGCATTTATTTGAAATAGAAATATTTTGGAATATTATAAATGTATATTTACTGTCATTTGTAATCAGATTAAAGAATCTCTACATAATAAAAGTATGAATTTCTTTTTTTTTTTTATCATACTGACCCCAAACTTTTGAACATAAATGTAAGTGAAAATATAAATGCAGTTCACAAAAAGCAGAAAGTAAACCCGGCTTATTAATGAGGAAATTATTCCACAAGAGGGAGCTGTTTGCTTCCTAATGCCAAACTGAATCTCAGCAGTAAAGAAAGATTATCATTATCTTCCTCAACCAGGATTACTATCTCTTTCCCTTCTCTCATATCCTTAGCATTTTTTACTGAGTTTTTTTTTAAATCACCTGCAGTGTTGGAAGTATTCCTCATGCTGATTTCGGTAAAAGACGGAGAACTTGAGCATCCTGCCAGCAATGACTTCAGCCTTCTGCAACAGCTGCGTCAAATGCACTGAGGAATAATCTAGAAAATTGAAGGAAATATTTGTATTTGTCATCAATTTTCATTAGTCTTGCTAACCACATAAAAAGCTGATCAGTATCACAACATTTTATCATCTTTATTCTCCTATTTTAAGTTATTTAGGCATTTAAAAAAAAAATTTCTTTCATTCATTTTTATATTCTTAAGTGATTTCACATATTTGTATTTTTCTCACTTTTTATTTATTTTAATTTTTTTTCTCTCTCTCTTTTTCTAATGCCAATTCACAGCACTTTTAATTACCTTTGTATATCAAACAGTCTGTACAGTCTTGTCTTGCATTCTTTTTTATATGTATGTGTGTGTTTGGGTGATTTACCTGCTGTACAAAATTCAACAATGTCACTCCATTCTGATACAGCGTAGTCTCCATCCGTCTGTTTGGATGCTATTTGCACGGCAACTGTGTATTCTGTCCGTGGACTCAGGAACCAATGGCCTCGCACTGTCATGGGCAACGGGACTGCCTTAGCAACAAGCTTCGTAGGCACATCCTAAAGACAGAGAGTCATCAAGGAATGAATTGACTAATTAATGACATTTAATCATCTGAATCTTTTTTATGACGATGAACAACAGTATGAAATTTAGCTAAAATGCTCTCATAAATAGGCAAAAAAAGCCCATTTGTATTATAAACTATTACAAACTTTGAAACCCCAGGCAATACTCAAGACTATGCAGAATAATTAAAATAATTTGTGTTGTGAACTGAATCATTGATTACCTTGTGTTTGAATTTGTTGGAGTTCTTGTTCTCCTTCTTGTTAAGGTCAATGAAGTAATGTGTGATCTTCTCTGTGGTGTGAGGGTCCATATCCCAGCAGATCTTAAAGGAGTCGCAGGTGATGTTACTGATCTTGATGTTGCGAGCAACGGGTAACTCCATTCCTACCACTCCGGGATCCTCAGCCTTACCTGAAAGAAAGAAAGCAAGCATATTGTCTAAAATCCTTTGTTTTGTTTGAAATATTAAATTTTTCTCTATAAACACTGCTACACTGACCCACATACACAATCACACAGAGTTAGAAATGTGCTTTGTTGGCTACAGTGTGGGCACTGTGTTATCTTAGTGTCTAGAAATGCACAACAGGAATGTGGGATTCCTGAATGGCACACACACACACAAAACACAGTGAACATTGAACCGCCTCTTGAAACCATGAATAGGGTCATGATAAAGCTTTACTGTACAATAAGCACCCTCAGCTCACTGTTCACTAAACACTGAGCCCTTTCTCTCCTAAACTGAATTCTTTACTACTGCTAATATATTCCCCTGGAAAGAAATTACTCTAATATGGACTTAAGAGTATTACTGAAAAATCAGCACAAAAGATCCATGTTTATTGAAGGATAAATATCTGAATATTATGAATTACTGAACACTGAGGTTATACTAACATTCAAAAGTTTGGACATCAAATTGATAAAAAATGACAGTAATGACATTTACTGTGTTACAAAAACAAATTCTATTTCAGTTAAATGCTGTTCTTTTTAACTTTATTAATCACAGGATCCTGTAAAAGTGTATCATAGTTTCCAGAAAATAATAAGCAAATGTTTTAAACTTTGATAATGATAAGAAGTGTATTTTGAGCATCAAATCAGCATAATAAAATGAAAGATTATGCGAAACTGAAAACTGGAGTAACAGAGAAAAGCCAGCTTTGCCATCACAGAAATAAATTACATTTGAAAACTCTATTGAAATAGAAAACAGATATTTTAAATTATAATAATGTTTTACAATATTGCTATTTTATTGTATTTTTGATACAGAACTCTTCTGCTTTATTTACCACAGAACAATCCGTGAAAGCCTGTTTCTGTCTTAGAATAAAAAATACAAAATGTAATTGTGAGATAAAACAAAAAATGTAAAAAAAAAAAAGTCAACATTGTGAGAAAGTCACATTGTGTCACAATTATGGGAAATAGTTTTAATTACAACAAATAAAGTTCAAAATAAGAAATAAAGTCAATATTGTGAGAAATAAAGTCATAATTTGTAATTAAAAGTCACACTGTGTTGTAAAAAAGTGATATTTGTGAGATATGAAGTCGTAATTATAGAAATTAAAGTGACAATTACAAGAAATAAAGTTGCCCTTATGAAATCTAAAGTAAAAAAAGGAAGAATACAAATGCACAAGAAGGTAAATGCACAAACAAAACAGCGAAATGTCTTATTGAAAAATAATAGTACTCACAACGTTGAGCTCAGTTGAGATAGATATATTCCTGTACTACACTAGCCCTCCCACAACACTGGGTCTGGCAGAAGAAGCCCTCCGAACGCCGCCTCTGCCAACAGCCTCCCTTACACAAACAACAGATGTCTGTTTATCAACTTCTGCTTTTGTCTGACATATTCTCACTACAGAATCTGCTTTCCTTCACGCTTTAAACTGGTTTGATGCTGCATACGTTTAGCATACACGAACAATTGTACTTCCAGCAAATGTTGATGTAATCTTATCCAAGCTTTGGTCAAAGGATCATTTAAAATAAAACTCTCAACAAAATCATAAAGCAAGTCTGTATAAATGAGATTACTTTATTTGTACCTAAAAACAAGTACTAAACCAGCAGTACTAGGGCTGCACGATATTGGAAAAAACTCACATTGCGATATTTTATTTTTCTGCGATATAAAGCGATATGAAAAAATAAATCACCACATGACTTGAATAGTTTATTTGTGGGGGGAAATAATAAACAAATTACAAGCATAGATAAATATAACAGAACAAAGATAAAAATGAAATAAGCAGTGCTTTATATTTTTCAGGTAAGTCTAACAGTATTCAGGTACAGAAATTGAATAATCAAATGTAAAATAACACTGCATAGTCTTCACTTTATAAATTAAATCTAATAAATCTGTGTTAAAGCTACAAAAGTGATTTTTCTTTGTTTTGTTGTTTAATTAACATACACAACACAGAAAGCCTCAGGAACATTAAACTGCTGTAAACCAATATACTGTTACACATCCATTTTCTTTCTTAATTGTTTCCCTTCACCTAAGCCATAAGCCACTGTGTTTACTTGCTGAGCACAGTATTTCAGGCACAAATAGACGCAGAAGTGAACAGAATTCAGTGTTCACGTGCATCTGCGTGGCTCTTACCGTGTCTACACTGCGAGCGGCACGATGCGACAAAATACAGTGAACCCATTATAATCAGTCATGCTGTCTACACTGGATGCAGCGCGGTACGACAAATCCCCTACAGTAAACTGATGCCGTGTTCTCTTTATGACGTACTGACACAAAGTTCAAATGATTGGCAACAGTCGCTTTGTCGCGTCCAGTGTAGACAGACTTTGGGGCCGTTCACATGTCGCGCCTAAAAACGTCGCTTTCTCCTTCTTTCCAAAGCGCTCGGGAGCTTGCGCTTTCGTGGCGTCTGCCGTTGCTAAGCAACCGTGTCCTGCACTCTCCGCGACGACATGGAAGTTTCAACAAAGGTTAAATGGATTTCCAGCACTGAAAATCGCGTGCAGTAGCTCTGCTACTAAATGTATTTAAAATGGGTATCTCTGTACAGCTGTCACGTCCGGTGTAAACACCGTGTCTGCGTGTGAGCGAAGAAAACAATCAGTATAAATATAACAATCAGTATACTAAACATCGCACATCCTGTGATGTGACTATCATGGATGCGCACATCGCGATATCGATGCTGAAACGATACATTGTGCAGCCCTAAGCAGTACGCATCTCTCTACAAAAGTGCCAGCTTCAAAACTCACCCACAGGTCTTTCGACATGCTTTAACAAAGACGGCAGTTTCCATGGAAACAAATCAAGGCCATTAATCAATGTAGCATAATTTAAAGAGGAAGATGGGCAGAAGCTTTACATGCCCAGTGATCAGCACTTAAGTTTTAAGATCGTAAACAAAAGTCAGAGCTGCTGGACGAGAAATAATTTTCATAGTCTCTAGATGTTATATATAAAATATCGGAAATGTGTTTAAAAATCATATCACCGTTATTGAAAAAAATTATATCGCGATACATATTGATATTGAATTATTGTCCAGCCCTAATTCAAATAGAAAAACTTTTTTTTTTTCAGAAAAGCTGACAGATAAAACCTTTTATTTATCGTGTATTACTGTTGAAAAGTTTGAGAAACAGAAATAGCAGCCTTAAAGACAAATAATGAACCAACCACAAACTTTTGAACTGAAGTATATATTAGACAATGTGAGACTCAAAACATGTAGGAAAGCACAGACAGAGAACTACCTGCTGAATCATAAGAGAGTAAGACACGAAGAAGGAAAAGTGTGGAGCGTCTGGTTCTATATCGACTCCAATAATGTCTAAAAGCCTCCTGCGGGACCACAGTCTATTTAAAGCCACGCACACACAGAAGAACCTACTGAAACATCAGACATTTGAAATAAATCTATCACCAAACTCCATTCCAAATATCTCCTTCACAAACACCTAAACAACCAAGAATATCCATCAGGGGAGCAGCTTGTGTGAGCAGCTTTCCCAGAAAACTGCAGTATTACATAACAGAAAAAACAGAAATGTCCAGACTGTACAGAGTCTACAGACTGCAAATCAAACCACACACTCACAAATCCAAAACTACAGTGAGGTCTTTATGTGGGCAAACAGCACTGCAACATGTGACTACAAAATAGTATTGGTCCCTGTGCATGAAAACAATGCTTTTCTCCCGAAAGAGCTCCAACACAGAGCGAGATTGCAGGTTCAAACTGCAAATGTCTCTGAATTGTGGCAGAATGCTAGTTTAGCAGGGTTTAGAGTTTGTTTAATGAGCTCTGGATCCACTCCAAAATGCACACAGAATTGCATATTAATACACACGTTTGTCATTTGCAGAACAACAAGCTGTGCATGTCAGTAAATTTACATTTTTAACAGTTTTCAGCCCCAGGCTAATTACAAATTATGGTGTCATTTATAGTCTAAAACTTTATATATGTAAAAAATTATGGAAGCAAGAACATGGTTATAGTAAAAATCAAAGAGATATATCTATATATTGAGCACTGATAAATCTTCACTATAACAATGTCTTTCATATTTATTTATTTATTTATATTATTATTAATAATCAATAGAAATAAAGATTGCAGTTTGGTTTAAAAATTTATTTTTCTGAATATTTTTTTCTGACTTATTTTATATGCCAGGCTTTATACGTTTTATGATCTTTACTGCAAGAATGACAGAACCTGCCACCAAACTAACACGAACAAGCTTGGTTATTGATTATTATAAATATCTATCTACACTAAATAACTGTACTTTTAACCTAAAAGGATATTAATATTAATCTAAAGCAAACCATTCAAATAATTACCACAAAAGCCTGCTATAGTCTGTGTGCAATTTCATTTACCTAATAAGAGTAAAAAATCTAATCAAATCATATTTCTACATGATTCTCTTGGCATCTGAGCTCCAAATGTGTGTGGGAAAATTTGCTCTGAGCATAATCTGGTTCTCTCCGCCTGCAATAAAGATAACACATTTACTTTGCAATTAAGTTTTGCCGAGATGAGCTGCAGAGCTCAGAACGAGTGCTGTGCACATAATAAAATGGTACAGCAGGCTGCTGTTTTCTAGTTTATGAGCCCAAAGCTTCTCTAGGGAAGGGAAAATGAACTTAAGTCAAGCCTCAAGCAACATATAATCATTACAGCACTTAATCATACAGAATTAAATATTTGCATTTAATTAGGGATGATTTTACAAGCAGTCTACCTATTAAGTAAGCATGTGCTGTCTGTAATTCAATATCAATTAAAAACAAGTGTCTTTCCTTAGCTGGGAATGTGATGTTTTTGTTTTTAAAAAGTTGTGAATTGTTTAGAGAGTTTAACATTTGTTAATTCTCTTATATTTCACTCATCGCATACATCATAGTCTAGCCTTCATATTGCATCTGTATACTCATATCCCTTGCTCAAGGGCATCGAAAGTTTACAGTTCACCGGTTGCCTCTAACTGGGATCAAATCTACAACCGCTTCATTACAAATCCAGGTCCTTACTAGAAAGGCTTACTCCAACATCTTAAAAAGTTTATGTTATTTGTACAACATTTCTCTAAATATATTTGTTCAGGTGTCACAGGCTGCAGTCAGGAATCCCCAAGGTTGTTCAAAGTCCTGCGTGGAACAGATTCAGGTTTCTAGCCAATCTGATTTAGATATTTACACTGGCACTCAGCTGATGGGTTAGCATTAGCCAACGCTAGTGGTTTCAATCATCATCTGAATGCACTTTAACTGAAATCAGTTTTTAGATAAAAATATACAAAACATCATCTTGCAAAGATCTTATAAGGGTGTTTAAAAGCAGATACAGCTGTGTCTGGTTAGGACAGCTGAACAGATGAGAAGTCTGGTCCATGTTTAAAGAGAATGTTTTCCTTCATGTCTGAGAAGCACATTCATGCTAACTAATTAGAGAGTTCAATTAGTACCTCAAAAACAGTGCATTATGCACTCCCTCAGTTTGTTGCAATTAAACAAAATGAAATGAGCGCTGATGTGTAAATGTAGTAACTCAAAGAGATAAGAGGCACTGTGCTGCCAGCACAGCAATCTATTCAGGCTATTTAATGCTGATTCAAATACATTCATGTAGGGAAGATAAAAAAACTCTGACTCCCTCTCAAAAATCTGGTGAGTCATTGTGCTAGCCTTAGAGGAACGCTGTATTCTTCTGAAGCCTGCCAAAATGCGTATTTGCAGTTTGTTGCTTCAGTCATTCTTAAAGAGGATGACACATTTTGACATTTTTAGACATACACTCACTATTGAAACACTGATGGTTGTAACGCTTATTAAAAAGACAAAGGTGACTCCACCATTTAAAATGGATTTGCATTTATAGGCCTGCAATTCCACTCAAACAAAATGAGATGGAAACAGGTGAAAGGCAAACACTTTATCCTCAAGTAAGCCTCTATATCAAGCCTGTATACCTTTAAAAGCCACAGCAGATTCCTCCCTATGTGTGTCCTGCTCAGTGTGTGTGTGTGTGTGTGTAAGCACCTGACTTCACCTTCTGCCAACATGAAGCTGTCAAAAAGCCTCACCCCCTGCCACATCAGCATCCTTTACTGCTTTAGGGCTCTTGAAATTATGATTATTTTATTTTGATATTTATATTATTTTTTCTACTGGTTTAAAATACCAGTTTGTTGGTTTCAGCTTAAATGACCGCATGACAATTAAACGAGACTGCAAGAGAAAAGGTAGCTGACAGCAAGAGGGTAGTGTCCATGGTGCTGAAACGAAAGCCTCGCACAGACAGCAGAGATTTCACTATCAGATACCACAGCCAGCACACACAAAGGCAGCCTGCCATGTCTCATATTCCGCTTTTCATGGACGTGACAGGCGATTTTTTTTCTGCAGCAATGAATAATCCCTTTTTACTACAGTCTTTAAGCGCTCAACACATTTCAAAATAAACATGGTCCTTTAAAAAGGTTTGTTAACAGGGGAGAACAGGCGTGGATAAACCTGTCAAGTTTACAGTCACTCACTGTGTTGCAGCGGTTTCTTACCGTCTCTCTCGCACAGCTGGAGTGACTCCAGGCTCACGTTCTTGATCATGCCCTCGAGCGGGCTTAACGAGCTCGCGACCCCGTGTGCCAAACTCGCCGCCTCCATGTCTGCAGAGGCGCTTGGATATCTTTGGAAATATTCTTCAGCTTCGGCTTTGAAACCCAAACAAGATGAGTCTTGTGCTCTGTCGCTTTGATTCCTCTCTTTCTTTCTCTCTCTCTCTCTCTTCCCTGGCGTTGTGGTGGAAACCGCGTCAGCGGGTCGTCATCACCACACTGCTGGACATAGATACAAGGACAGAAGCATATACACTATAAGGAAGATTATTTTATTCTAGTGGCTCAATAAAATTAATGTAGTTGTCCTCAGTTTGAGAAAACATAAATGTATCTGAGTTCCCTCGCTCTGACGAACGCCACAAGTGTTTTCGCTCTGAGGAGAAACGGATTAACGCGAATGAACGGACGAACGGCGCGTTCAGTGATGGGTTATGTAACGAGATTACGGTCTACACTACAGTTAATTCTCAATTTCAGCAGACTCTATGTGTACCCCCTGTACCTCTGCTCCCGCATCTGAGAGAAAGACTCCTTTATTCCACCAGCCATCTCACTGACGTCACTTCAAGCGGTCGAGCTCATGTCCTTATTTGGTACCGAATCGACCCCTGCATGAACAGGGTGGGGATATTGATTCATCCCAGTGCTTCGAATCTTTTGAATTCGTGCACCAAAAAGATTCGTTCAAATTCTTTCACTGGTTCGTCCAGTCAGTGGACCTTTACATCAGATAACGAGTAAATGATTCCATTAAAAAAATAAAAAAACACTGAGAGTGCCATTCACGACTGATACAACTTCAATTAGGCCTATATTTGATTAAAATTCGTTTCTAAATTGTGTATTTGTCATTAGTCATTTACGCCAGTAGGTGGCGTGTTATGAATAAATCGATAATTCACTCATAACTGTAACCTATTAGGTTGTTTGCAATCACGTGATTCTGATGACGCGCGAAATGCAGCTGGAGGGCAGGAAGTGATTTTTCTCTCCATAGAAATCACTAGCAGAAACTCAAAATGCCAGTGTTTTGCGTTGTTTATGGATGCTCAAATCGGACAAACCGAGAAACCACAAGGAGCTTTTATCGTGTACAAAAATGTGTTGTTCATAAGGGGGGAAAAGTCAAGAAATTGACTGAAAAACGCACGAAAAAGTGGCTTGTAAGCCTGCGTCTGCGGTTGGGAGTAGTGAGTCGGATAATGCTTGTGTATGCAAATGGTTAATATAAGATATAATAATATATTAAGATATTAATAAAGAAATAT